TACCTGCTAATCGCCTTAATCCTATCATAGCCCCTATTCAGGATCTGACAGTTATATTCATGAGCCAAGGGCCAGGGAGTGATCTTCACAGTGTAGTGCACGTGTAGTTCTGTGATATTGGTATTCATTTTTTTCAATCATTTTTGTCACTGCGTAGGCTTACTCTTTGCCATAAAAGCCTGTATACATCGGCGATATATAATTGATTCGCTTCTCTCCCCTTCGATCTATCTCTCTTTTATTTTCTCAAGCGCCTGGTGATAACCGTGATATTGGTATTCATTTTCTTCAATCAATTTTTTTATTTTCCGTCGACTTACTTTTTGTCGTAAAAGCCTGTAACATCAGTGATATATAATTGATTTCGCTTCTCTCTTCTCTGCGATCTATTTTGTCAAGCGCCTGGTGATATTGGCATTCATTTTCTTCAATCATTGTTTTCGTTCCGTCGACTTACTTTTTGTCGTAAAAGCCTGTAACATCAGCGATGTATAATTGATTTAGCTTCTCCCTCCCCTTCGAGCTATCTCTCTGGTATTTTGTCAATGTCCTGGTGATATTGGAATTATTTTTTTCATTCATTTCTTTCGTTCCGTCGACTTACTTTTTGTCATAAAAGCCAGTAACATCAGCGATATTTAGTATAATTGAATTCACTTCTCTCTTCCCTGCGATCTATCTCTCTTTTATTTTGCCAAGCGCCTGGTGATATTGGAATTCATTTTCTTCATTCATTTCTTTCATTCCGTAGGCTTACTCTTTGTCATGCAAGCCTGTAAGATCAGCGATATTTATTTGTTTTCGCTTATTTCTCTCCCGCGATCTATATCTTTTTTTTTTTCCTTCTCAAGCGCCGATGATATTGGCATTCATTTTCTTCATACATTTCTTTCGTTCCGTCGACTTACTCTTTGCCATGAAAGCCTGTAACATCGGCGATATATAATTGATTCGCTTCTCTCCCCTTCGATCTACATGTATCTCTCTTTTATTTTCTCAAGCGCCTGGTGATAACCGTGATATTGGTATTCATTTTCTTCAATCATTTTTTTTTCGTTCCGTCGACTTACTTTTTGTCGTAAAAGCCTGTAACATCAGTGATATATAATTGATTTCGCTTCTCTCTTCTCTGCGATCTATTTTGTCAAGCGCCTGGTGATATTGGCATTCATTTTCTTCAATCATTTTGGTCGTTCCGTCGAAAGCCTGTAACATCAGCGATGTATAATTGATTTAGCTTCTCCCTCCCCTGCGATCTATCTCTCTTTTACTTTGTCAAGCGCCGGGGTGATATTGGCATTCATTTGCTTCAATAATTTGTTTCGTTCCGTTTACTAACTTGTCATAAAAGCCTATAACATCAGCGATATTTAATTGAATTCGCTTCTGTCTCTCTCCCGCAACTCATTAATTGTTTTATTTTCTCAAGCGCCGATGATATTGGCATTCATTTTCTTCAATCATTTCTGTCGTTGCGTAGGCTTACTTTTTGCCATGAAAGCCTGTAACATCATCAATATTTGATTGTTTTCGCTTCTTTCTCTCCCGCGATTTAATGTCTCTTTCATTTTTTCAAGTGCCAGTGATATTGGTTTTCATTTTCTTCATTCATTTCTTTCGGTCTGTCGGCTTACTTTTTGTTATAAAAGCCTGTAACATCAGCGATATTCTATTGTTTCCGCTTCTCTCTCTCCCGCGATCTATATCCTTTTCAATTTATAGTACAAGTTCTAGTACACACACACACTGAGACAAACGCAGTTAATCTGGCACACTCGTGATTAAAGGTATTGTAGTCAAGGTGATTACGTAATAGATAATTGTCCCTCGCTAGTTAAGAGGATTAGAGATAATTAGATTTACTTGGAGGAGAGGTAAAGGAATGACCTGTGAAAGTGATGTCCTGAAGCCCGAGTAAGCAGGGACTTAATAGGATAAAGGGTAGACTCGACGTTTGGGGCATGGTTTCAGACATTTTAGGCATCAATTTCTCGAAGCGCATATCGTTAATTCGTTCGCTACTAAATTTTGAGAAGATTATTAGGATGTTCAGATTAGTTTGGCTTTGTTTTATCGTAAATACTTTTGAATATACTCGTATCTTCAGATGATAATTACGATGTTTCAGATATTTTAGGCATCATTTTCTTGAAGTGCATATTGTTCCTTCGTTCAGTCAATTTTAGAAGATAATTACGATGTTACAGATATTTTAGGCATCATTTTCTCGAAGCACATATCGTAACTTCGTTCGCTAATTTTGAGAAGATAATTAGGATGTTTCAGATTAGTTTGGCATTGTTTTATCGTAAATAATTTTGAATATACTCGTGCTCGTATTTTGAGATGATAAGTACGATGTTTCAGATATTTTAGGCATCGTTTTATTGAAGCGCATATATCGTTCCTCCTTTCGGTCAATTTTAGAAGATAATTACGATGTTTCAGATATTTTAGGCATCATTATCTCGAAGCACATATCGTAACTTCATTCCCTAATTTTGAGACGATAATAAGGATGTTTCAAATTAGTCTGGCATTGTTTCATCGTATTTAATTTTGAACATACTCGTGCTCGTATTTTGAGATGATAATTACGATGTTTCAGATATTTTAGGCATCATTTTCTTGAAGCGCATATATCGTTCCTTCGTTCGGTCAATTTTAGAACATCATCTAACAAAACTAACAAAACTAACAAAACTAACAAAACTAACGGGTAACGCTAACGTCTAACGGGTAACGCCTACAAACGTTAAATATATAATTAACGTATTGCAAACGTTACACGCGTTAGGGGGGTTAGTTTATTTTGACTCATACTGTACGGTAGCTATTGGACATTCGAAAAGAAAAAATGAATATTCATCAACTAACACCAAGACGGATAATGTTGACTACGAGACTTTCTCGGATTAATCATTAATTTAGGATCTAAATGAGCAAGCTATCGTAAGTCAAATAAGCTATATATATGTTATTTTTAATTTGTGTTATAATTGCCGCAGTTATGAGGATGTAAAGAGTGAAAATCTTGTTGCATATCTCATTCATCGCGGTCCGGTCGAACCGAACCATTTGTTCCGTACAGTGCCTCACAGAAAGAGGTCCCCAGATTTCAGTCTCTATAATCGGAGGTCTAGTGGAGCCAGACGTAGTCTCAGTGGAACAACCGACGATTAGAGAGACTGAAGCTTTCGGTCTAACCATGCCAGAGTCACTGAAGAACCACATTTGCAATGGGAAATATATCCTAAAATATCACATTTTAACGATGTAATCGGCAGTCCCGCTACCCGAATCTGAAAAATTGAGTATCTTACGCGTGTCTGTAAGAAATATGGGTACCATAAAACAAGCTTTATTTAAAGTATTTTTCAGATTTAGAGCCTGATTTTGTGCGGGTTGCAAGCTCAAAAGTATCTCATCGCATGTATGAAATCAATGGAGCTGGACACCGCAACGCACAAATGATATCTCTGTCTAATTCAGATTCCAATTTCCGATCAACGCAGTGCTAGTTTTCGTCTTGGGGAGCACTGGGAGCTCCGGCGTGGAATACCTGCTCCGCCTGCTAGTGCTATAGATCAGCGCGCTAACGCGGGCTTCCTACTGACTTTGTACATGTAGTCGAAAACTTGCTCGCGCTCGCTTTGTCCATAACTGCCTCCGAAACAGTGAAAATTGAAATGAATATTGTCATGGCAATTCGTGATTTTTTTTCTGGGATTCTTTTTTTGTTTAAAATATAATAATAGTCTAATATTTGCTTCATGATTTAAACAAGAAATGATAATAAATAGGAAGCACGAAACAGGGTAGACCGAAAGCTTCAGTCTCTATAATCGTCGGTTGTTCCACTGAGACTACGTCTGGCTCCACTAGACCTCCGGTTATAGAGACAGAACGATCGCCTATGCCAGCCCGTGTTGAACTTATTCCGCTAGATTTTAGCCGCTAGGCCCCTCCCACAAACTTGCCACGGCCGTATTGTTATGCCCCCAAAATCCCCCAAAATGTCATTTTACCTCGTTCATTTCCAATTTTAAATTAGGCCTAGGCTATAATAAATCGGTTCCACTTACTAACTTGATTGATATAATCCGTTTAATGGTCCCTTTTAAGGAAATTATCGGTCAAAATCGACATCCATGTTGAAAATCTTGCAAGCCGTGTTAAACTCTCGCTGCCGTCAATCTCATCCCTTCTAGTCTACGCCGAAGGCAAAATGATTATTAAGGAAAAACTGTGATAACGCCATTACGAACGTGTAGATGGCGCACAGTTTTTCCTTAATAATCATTTTGCCTTCGGCGTAGACTAGAAGGGATGAGATTGACGGCAGCGAGAGTTTAACACGGCTTGCAAGATTTTCAACATGGATGTCGATTTTGACCGATAATTTCCTTAAAAGGGACCATTAAACGGATTATATCAATCAAGTTAGTAAGTGGAACCGATTTATTATAGCCTAGGCCTAATTTAAAATTGGAAATGAACGAGGTAAAATGACATTTTGGGGGATTTTGGGGGCATAACAATACGGCCGTGGCAAGTTTGTGGGAGGGGCCTAGCGGCTAAAATCTAGCGGAATAAGTTCAACACGGGCTGGCATAGGCGATCGTTCTGTCTCTATAACCGGAGGTCTAGTGGAGCCAGACGAAGTCTCAGTGGAACAACCGACGATTATAGAGACTGAAGCTTTCGGTCTAGAAACAGGGAGATCTAATAAACATAACGACTTTTAACTCATGATCTTAATTTGGACATTTAATGAATATTTACTTCATAGTAGGGTATCTCCACGCCGGAGTTACGGGTCAAATTTTGGATAGGTTTCTGAACAAGCGCAGGTTTATTTATTTATTTGTAGGGACGTGATACAAACACTTAAACGGGTATATGGGACTGTAATTTAGTAAAATTTTACAAGAACCACACTGCGTGAAGCTGAAGTCGCTTTATTCTTGCAAGGACAGAAAGTAAATCTTGCTCATTACCTTTTTCCTTGCACCAGGATTATCCTTTAAGTTGTTTAAGGCAACTCTTGGTAGGCTACGAACTACCTCTAACGCCCTTCCTGCCCCAGATTTCGCCATTCTATGACGCCAAATGAAATGCAAAGCCAAAGGCAAAAACAAAATTATGGAGAAAATGTGCTATGGTATCTTTGATAAACAAAAAGGGGATCTACACCATTTTTGGTTTTCTCGACGCGACAGCATAAACATTCACTGTTCGAATTCACACATGCTTATAATATATAATTGATAATGATTGGCGGAAGAAGGAACAACCGTTTGCTTGAGTGCTCTCTTGTCCTACGATATGTCTAAGGTTATCATGATGTATTGTCAAATAATCACTCCAGATATAATTATCCCTTTCATTTCCCTTTCTCTCTCTCTCTCTCTCTTATTCTCTCTCTATTGTCCTATTTGTTCTCTCTCTCTATAATAATAATAATAATAATAATAATATTAAGCTTTTATATAGCGCTTAATAAAATGTATCTAAGCGCTTTACAAATATACTATTAACCCGGTCATTGGATTCAGTGCTTGCCAGCAGACACTGTGTGCACAATCTCCACTTCCTGGGGAGCATTCGCTATTCGTCTATATCTCGGATCTTTGGGAAAATGAGAGTGATTGTGTGGGAAAGAAAGAGGGCTCTAGAGAAAGGGGGAAATGGGTAAGGAAGGGACCCTAAAAGAAGAGAGAAGAGAAGAGAGAGAGAGAGAGACTCAGAGAGAGAGAGAGAGAGAGAGAGAGAGAGACTCAGAGAGAGAGGAGAGGAGCAGTCAGTATGGGGGGGGGGGGGTACAGGTAGGGGGCAAAGCTTAAAACTAAGATGACAGAGCAGAACAGCATGGTGAATCATCAACATGTCCTCATGAACAGCTGAGTGCAACCTTAAACAGGTGTGTTAATGTTTCGTTTCTTTTTATTCTCTAGCATTTTTTTTTGTTGTTTTTTTTTTTGTTGTATTTATTAACATGTATTTCCTTCTCAACAATACAATATGAAACACAATTATGTAACAATTACTTCAACATAGAGTATACAGTAAAGAATTCAGATACAGAAGGAGGGGAAAACCCGAAAAGCATAGCTTGAGTTGGGAACGCCCATAATAAGTTAACAGAGTTACCGAGAGAACATTATAGATATTACTATGAAAATGACTAAGAACGTTAATAGGAAGAAAAAATAGTAAATGGAAGATTTAATAAAAATGAGAATAGAATTAAGTATAGGAAGGCATGTTCACTTATAAAGAGAAAGTTAACTCAATTAGACTGTACACGTGTCTGCGATTACATCATAAAAATAACAAAGTACTACAATTCGAAAATAGACAGCAGGTACATATTCATTAAAAACAAGCAAAATCAACAAACAAACAACAGCTTCATCCGACAACATTGTCCTGGGGAATGTACAGGTGGTACCTAGGAACAGCTGAGGCGTGTACGTGAGTGATCAAAATAAAATAGCATGGATAGAAGCAGAAATTTCATCGATATGACCCTGTTGTTAATTTGACTTTACCTCAGTCAAAATATGAGCCTTGCGCAAGCAAGATCAGCGACCGATCGACAGTATAACATAAACATACACGGTTATCCATATATTTTGGAAAACAATTCTTGAAGCTCCTGTCATTAAATGGTTGTGAAAATATGATTTATTCTTGATTTAAAAAATTCATGATTATACTTATTCTCAGAACTTTATTGATAAACCTACATGACTATTTAGATTGATCAATAAAGTTGTGAGATTATTTAAGCTTTTCATTAAAGGGGAGGGAGAGGGGGCTTACATTTAAACGAAGTACATGCTTCCTTTTAGTCACAAAATAGGCCTATTTAACATTCAATTTGTTTTCTCGATCGTTTGATGTAAATGATCAAGTATGTGCAGTATGCAATGTAGAGATTTGTAAATGAGCTGGGAGTTGCAAGTGAGGGGGGGGGCACATGCCTCCGGGCAACACTGTTGCATTTCATATTTGTGCACCCTAACCCACCTGCTAGCTGCTGCCAAGTACCTTTCTGATTTTAATCTGATTTTAAAGACCCCCCCCCCCCACAACCACACACACACACACACGCACACACACACACACACATACACACACACACACACACACACACAAACCCTCTTCTTCGTCTTCTTTTCTTTTTGCTTTTCCATATGAGTTTGTTCTCGTTGATGATGAAATTATTCTGTGTATCCCGTCCTGTGCCTTTTTTCCACCAAACATGTCCAACATACTACGTCACTGCCCCCCCCCCCCCCCAGTTCTGCAAACATGACAAGGGGTAACAATTAAGCAAGAACATGTTATCAATTTTCTTCATAATTTCATTTATATGTAAACCTATATTAACACAAGGCACAAAGCGTCGATATAAAGACTACTGATGAGGCTAGTTCCTACATATAATTATATAATATTAACAAATGACTGAGGCACAAAGCGTCGATGAATATATTGCTTAGGCTAGCTCCTCTTCCCAGGCTAAAGTTTGACATAATTTTAAATGCCACTTGCTTCCCTGTGTCGAACAGGGCGCTTCACTTGGCAAGCTCCGATGTCAACTGCATTACTGCCTCCCTGCACCTGGGTAGCTACAAAGTAATTCGTGGAACAACCATTTAGAGGCGGGATATTAAACCAGCCATTCAGGGCGCAGGACCATGACTTGCGGAATAATATGGCCTTCGAGTGAGGATCCAAAGGGCCAGAAGGGTGTGAAAGGCGGTCCTATTAAATATTTTGTCAGTCACCTTCTCTTTTTTTTATTATTCGCCCTTCTTTTGACGTTTGATTGTGGGGGGGGGGGGGCACTTACCCTCAAGTGCCCCAGAGCTACGCCGCTGTTCGGAGGCATCTCAATGTCGCGACATCATCATAATTTGTGGTCGGATGACAACTGATGCGTCGTCAAACAACATTGCAACTCCTGTGTCAGATCATCGTGTTGCCAAATTATATTTTATATCGTCATCGCACGATGCGACTGTAAGTGCGATAACATGGAGACCCTTGCTAGGAGTTGTGTGGTTGTCGCCACAGTAATATTTATCGGAGCTTTCTTGCAACAGCTACCAGGAGTTGCCGGGGGTGGCTGCGGCTGCTCACCGCTCTGGACCGCCTACAACGGCTACTGCTACAGGTAAAATAAATACAATCAACATGATAAACATTACATTCATGATTTTTACATAGCACTTGCTGCGTGTTGTATCTAGCGTTGCTAGCTGTTGCAGCTGCTGTTGTTTTGTATTTGTTATACATTTATTCATCTATCTCTTTAATATATATATTCATTCATTTATTCATTTATTAATTCAGGTACTATTTGTTTACTCGTGGGTTTTTTTACAATTATTGAACGGCAGGCGATGGTTGCATCGCTCACAACTTTTGAAAAATGAGAGCCATCGCGCCTCTTGTCAAAGAATGGGATATTCGGTCATATATGCATACGGTCACAATTTTTCCAGGAAAATTACATCTGTCTGCCCGAATGTCAACATCCTTCCTTATTAACTTTTTAATTCGAAATTGCAAGGTTCATATTCGGGCAAAGGTTGTCCGCTTTCCTTATGTAACTTGTCCCCTACCCTTCAGCGATATTTTTTTTTCAATCAGTATGTCCCCATGCAGCTAACACACTGTTGTGACTGTTTAAGTAGGGAGAGTATAACTCTCCCTGGTTTAAGATGTTAAAGATAAACTTGAGTTCTGTTTTTTTTTTTTTTTTTTTTTTTTTTTAATGAATTCTCACAGAATCAAACGAAACTTACACTAAATCTTCAAGATTACAAATAAATTTCATGTGCCAAACAATGTTGGAAGAAAATGTATACTGGCTGAGTAATGAGCATGGAAAGATATGGAAATCTAGGTATAGTAGCCCAGGCACCATTTGTGTAGTCCCCTATACATCTTTCTGTGTACAGTGCTTGTTACTTTACCAAGACTGGGCCAAATTTATTATGATTTTGCTGACTCCGGAACCTTGCAGTACATCACCAATACTTTCATGCTACAGGATCAACTTTTTTCTGATCCATTCCACACCTTTTCTTTCACAATGCAATCGCATTACCAGAACTCACCTTTATCTTTAACCTAATATGATAGTAGATATTTTCTGACGATATACATATATCTTAATTTCTGACTTTTATCAACAGTATTTTCGATAAACTCATCCATTCATTTTCAAAAATCAAGGCAGTAAGTGCCAATGCCAAAAGTTCCGACCCTGTATCTGAGTCATGCGAGGTGTGTTAGGCAAAACGAAATTCTGAGCGCAGTGTACCTCCACAAAATGCACCTGTATGACCCATCGACGTTTAGGAATTATGCCTATTTCCTCACTCCCCCACGTTTTTTTCTAATTTACTAGCCCCTCCCCCACCCTCTATTTCGAATTCTTTATTTATCTATTTCTTTTTCCTTTCATTTTCCAGTTGGATTTATTGAAGCCGTATTCATTTTTAATTTTTGCGTTTCTTCTTCTCCCCCTCTCCCTTTCACCTTCTTTCTCTCTCTATCTCTCTCTCTCTCTCTCTCTCTGTCTATCTCTCTGTCTCTTACCCCCTCCTATATTTCTTCCCATCTTCTAGCTGTGCCAACCTCTTCTCTCTCTATCATTTTGACTCATTTTATTGAACGCCACCTCTCCTTCCTTTCTTTATCGCGACCTCATTTTATTGTCCCCTCTCTCCCTTTCTCTCAACTTCTCTCCCATACTCTTTCTTTACGCCACCTTTCCTCTCATACTTTTTTTAAAATCTCCCTGTCTGACAATCTCGTATTGATTCTCTTCCCCCTCTCTATGTCTCTTTTTCCTCCACTTTACTGCCATTATCCCCCCCCCCCCCTCTCTCTCTCTCTCTCTCTCTCTCTCTCTCCCTCCCTCTACCCTTATCTCTCTGATCCACCAGGTTCTTCAACGATCGGAACATATCCTGGATAGACGCAGAGCTTCGTTGCAGGTCGTTCTCGATCCCGTGCGGTGACTCGACCTCCAGCCAAACCATCGCTCACCTGGTCTCTGTTCATTCCCAAGAAGAAATGGATTTCCTGACCGCGATGTATGAATCTCTTCGACCAAAACGAGTAAGGAGCAATCAATTCCAAACGCTGCAGTTGTTATCCGTTTGCATTTTTAATATCACTTTGTTGATCCAACGTGCACAACAAAGAAAACCTAATAGCACTGTAGCGATGCTAGAGGTATTTTGGTTTTTTTAAGGGGGGGGGGGGGCTTTCTTTATTACAAAAAATTAAAGCCCTCCTACATTTCCCGCGAGGCACAACAAGTGTAACAAATTAATGCAAGGCCCCCAAGCCCCTCTAAAGCTCCCCTCTCCGCCTCCCGAATTCATTTCCTAGAAGCGCTCCTACATACTAATAGCCATGTCAAACAAGAAATTTACTGGTAGATGCAGGGCATAAACAACATCTTTGAGAAGAAAAGAAACAAGATGGTAACGATAATTTTACCAATTTTTGAATATAAAAAAAAACATGGACGTCCTCCCCCGCTGGCCAAAAAAAAAAAAAAGAACAGTAAAAATGTGATACTGTAGGTTGTTGTTGTTTGGGTAATCAGGCGGGGGGGGGGGGTGTTAACAAAAAGAAGGATTCACCCCTCCCCCCACGTTGAGCAACAAAATGTATTGCCTACCTTAAAAAAGAAGGATTCATCCCCTCCCCCCCCCCCCCCCACTGAGCGAAATATTGGACGACGCGATTTTCAAATATTAGCCCCCCCCCCCCCTATTGGAAAATCCTGGATCCGCCACTGACCCACCCCCATCCCCAATACACCCTTGGAACCAGCCCTATTTTGTCGGATGAGGAGATGCCTTGAGTGATGCCTAACCCTTTTCGTTTGAAAATGGGCATGGGAGGGGAAGGGGGGGGGGGGGGGTTAAGAAGCCCTATCAGGGATTTGAAAGCCCTAAACAAATAATCTGTTGCAGCAAGATTAGTTTATGAAAGTATGTGCAAAATTCAGATCAGATTGGGATTTTTCTTTTCCCCATTATCTTGGTCAAGTGGATACGTCGCCGGACTGTCGATCACAAGGTCCGTGGTTCGAGTACCGCAACGGCACTAAATGTCCTTTGACAATACATTGATCTACATTTGAAACACTTAACCCAGGCGATGTTAATGGGTTCCTGGCAGGAATGAATTCCTTGAAATGTTGGAGCGCTGTCATGGCAGCTAGGCTAAAGCCGGGGTAATAATAAATGCGCCTCGGAATAGAATTTCTAGAAAGACGGCGCTATATAAATGCCTATTATTATTATTGTTATTATTTGTTATTTATTTTGACCTTAAATTCGCAGGGTCCAAGCCGGGCGTGGATAGGTCTCCACGACAGAGCCTCTGAGAACTGTTCAGAATGGATCGACGGGACGACGGTGAACTTCACGGACTGGGGGACGGGCCAGCCTAATGATCGCAATGGCTTCCATGACTGCACGTTCTTCGCAAGATGGGGCGATTATAAATGGAACGATATGGGATGCGATCCCGACAACGTCGAATCGTACATCTGCAAACATCCCAAATGGTGAACAATCGTGAAAGTACATTATACTAGGTGCAAGTTAGAGAGGGGAAAACACATTTGTAACAGGAATTTTTGCACAGCCAATTAAGAGGCATCGCCATTAGTAGGCCATCTAATTGTGCACAGTGTCCAGGAATTCCTGTATTTGTATGCGTAAAGGGCAATTGTACACAACTGTAGAGCTCATTGAGACGACTGCTGGATCATGAAATTATGTTATCATTTTTCATTTCTGCACCGATGGTACATTCTATGATACACAGGTGAAAGCATTCTTTTCAGAGGGCAAACAACAGGTATTCATGACATTAAGCACCTCCATCACTTTGGCAGTGATTATTGTAAAACGCTCAAAGTGGGAAGTCTCCATGTGTAAAACATCTGTGGCTATTTGGCAGTCACTATTTGGCTTATTTCACCATTATACCTGGACATGACGTCGTATTAAGTTTTACGACGAAGTTCCGTAACCAGGTAATTGTTCTCAACACTGCTCAAAGTGAAAAGAAAGATCACTGATGCTGATTACGGAACGCAAAATATAAGTGTGTCACTTTAGTATTGTGTGGTTATGATTATATTTTAAAATAAGTTATTTTGTTATGCAAACAATCTGTCCAATAGCTGGACGAAACCAGTTTTTAGACCGTTTCCGATGACAGCATAGATTGGTAAGATTACATTTACACGTCACCACCATTACTAATTAGAACCAGGAGAGTTTTTATATATTTTTGTATTAAATGTTCACTTTTGATACTGGGGGGGGGGGGGCGGGCTAATGCCGCAAATCTGGCCATCCTCCAAAGTATCATTTTAAACCTAAAACTAGTAATCGATACTTTTACAAAAAGTCAAGTCAAGTTCCTGCATTCGGAGTATGTCCTCAAACGGTATTTCCCCTAAGACAAACAATATGAAGTACATGGAATCACATGGTTTACTTGCAAATGAATGGTGAAGGTCTATAAAGTACCTTCCGGTGGAGGATCCGGATTCTCTAAATCTTTTTGACGAGCAATAATAAAAAAAATAAAAAAAGGATCATCAGCCCGTGGTTCTTCTTTCCTTCATCCTGTTCACCCCTCATTTAGGAGGGAGGGGGAGGGGTGCACGTACCCCCATGCCACATTGATCCGCTACTGCCATTAAAGGTAGACCTCATAATGATGACTGGATGCAAACAAATAAATAGAAAAAATGCCAAGGACTCTATCCATGTAAAGTGTATTAAGTCTCGTTCAGATTTGTCCTTACTACCATACTGTTTTACACTTTGTAATCAGGCGCGTACGCAGGATTTTTTCAAGATGGGGGGGGGGGTGGGGGTAAGAGGACACTTTTTTTACCCTCCAACCCCCCCCCCCCCCCCCCCCCCTGTGAACGCGCTTGTTTGTAGTGCACATAGATAGATATCAATCATAGTCGTCAGATACATTTATGTTGAGAAGAATACCTAGAGGGCAATCCATCCTTTGTAATAAAGTACAGTTACATGACAGCGGGAGAAAAAAGGAAACAGAAAGGCGAAAGTTTGAAATAAATCGGACAGATCATAGTAGATTTTTCAAGGTTTGAAATACGACATCACTATTCACTAAACCAATGCAAATCTCAAATTGGCAGTTTGGTCAGTGGATTATAACGTAGTCATTGACAACTCTCGCGTTTTTATCAATTACTGTTTTTTTTCTCCTTTGGGGCACTTCTCACAAATATATTACGTATAGTTATAAATTTATAGGTCCTCGTAAAGGAAAGAACCTTAATGGGTCATACTTTTTTTGTTGTTAAAATGACATTTGAGTCATTTTTTTGTATTTGAAGAAATACGAAAGTTGTCCGGCATTACGTCAAAGTGATATTACCGATTGGGCCATTTTGAAATTCCCATACGTATAGTGATAACAATTTTTTTTTAATCATACTTTTTGACCGATTTCATTCAAACTTTCACCAGTCTGCTTCTTTGATTTTTCTGGTTGCTTTTAAAGTAGTTTCGTGTTAGGTTTGAATTCCTCTTTAAAGTTAAAACGTCCATTTTTGTTTTTATTCACGTTTCCGACTTAAAATAAAATGAATTCGTTGTTTAATTTCGTTTAATCGACTTTGTTTGTATCTTTACAAGTAAGAAGGAAACGGGTCCATGGTCCTTTGCGATTAAAAAGCTGATTATTCTAAATTTTACCAGGTAATGGGCAGAGGGGCGGACCCGGGGGTGGGGGGAAGGGGGCACAGTGCCCCACATTTGTTGAAATTCACCTCAAGTGCCTTTTTACATAGAAAAGTGCCCTCTTTTACTTCAGATAAGTGCCCCTTTTAATGTCCAAGTTCTAAATTCTACTGAGTACCCCTTACCACTTTAGATAATTGTCACCTTCAACACTGATTATTGCCCCTATTCAAATTTCAGAGGTGCCCCTTTTTACTTCAACAAGTGCCCTTTTCTGTTGTAATAAGTGCCCTTTCCCCTTCTGATAAATCCCCTCTTCTTCTCTGAGAAATGCCCCTATTCACCTCTGATAAATGCCCCTTTTTGCGCGTGCCAACTTTTTCTGTCTTGTAAGTGCCATTTTACCCCATGATGTTTTTTTCTTTTTAATAAGAGCCCCTTCCCTTCTCATAAACGCCACTTCTCACACCTCTGATAAAAGCTTCTATTAAAATCTGATATGTGCCCGTTTTCCTTCGAAAAGTGCTCATTTTCCTCTGTAATAAGTGTCCCTTTCCATTCTCAAAAGTGCACCTAATCATCTCAAATTAGTGCCCCTTTATAGGTACAAGAAGTCCCCCTTACCATCTCTGATAAATGCCCCTTCACCTCTCATAATTACCTCTTTTTAGATATGAGCGATGCCCCTTATATTTTGACAAGTGCCTGTATTCCTTCGTATGTACCCTTGTCATTTCCAGTGAGTGCCCTCATTTTAATTTAAGAGGTGCCCCTTTAACTTGTTAATAAAATCCCCTTTTATTGTGACTCGGTGCCCCTTGTCCTTTGTAATCCGTGCCATTTTCCTTCTGATAATTGCTTCTTCTTCTTTGAAATAAATGCCCCTTTTCCATTCTCATAAAGAGCCCTTTTTCATCTCTGTTGAGTGCCCGCGAGAAGTTCCCCCATTTCACCCCTGATAATTGTGTTCACTTTAACAAGCGCTTATTTCCTTTTCTAACAAGTGCCCCTTTCCCTTTGGATAATTGATAATCCTTTTCCTTTCACTATAACGATGTGCTCCTAATATTTGTTAAAGTGACTCAGAGCAACTTTTTCTTTACTTTTACTCGAAGCTCGCCAGCTACGCTCGCTCGCATTTAAAGTTGATATAATTATGTTCCTTAATATTATATCTTTTGAGTCTTTCATGATTAGATTGCGCTTTAATATTAAAAACCCCATTAGGATTGTTTGGGTTTTTTCTTCTCTATAAGACATAGATGTTTGCCCTGCGACCTAAATAATCCTAAAATCTTAAAATATTATAATAACATTTTCAGACCAGCACCCCCAATTGGAAAGTAAAATGAGCGTCAATCCTTACGTAATACCTATTGTTCAGGGGGGGCCCCCCCTGAACAATAGGTATTACGTAAGGATTGACGCCCATGGGAAAGTATGATGCCCATTGCCCATTATGCCTAGGTCACATTTGCCGCAGCGACCGCACGGTCTAAAATATCTACGGCCAATAGCAATATAGGACCGCCGCAGCATTCCCACGGTCACATACGGTAGCGGTCACAATGAAGGTACCCGCACGGCGTATTTTGAATTTGTGGAGACACAAAATCTGCAACTGCCGTACGGCCTTTGAAGTGATTACGCACGGTCGCATTAGTAGGTCAATCCCGCCCCGACACCGGGTCGGAATGACCGCATGCGTGTTACCAAAATGTCCGGTAAAGGGGTACTTTTCACGCACCAAAGTTCGGCTCGTAGAACGCAAAATTGACTTACACACCGGACTTAGGAGGTGTTTTCAAAAGGAGAGAACACGCATATGCGTACCCTAAATAACACTGAGTGTGGGGGGGGGGGGGGGGAGGTCAATGAGGTGTCCCTGCGGCGGCCGTAGCTTTTTGACGAATACTACTACGAGGTAGCCACCAGGTATCCGCAAGGCGGCCGAAGGGGGACCATACGGCGACCGTGTGGCCAGACTGATGCTACCGCTTCACCCCTGGAGTATCAAAAACGCAAGGCTACCGTACGTCCGACGTACAGTCGCCGTGGAACCGCTCTACGGCATGGCTACGGCGTTTCTAATCGGTACGGCAAAACTAGAAATGAAAACAGTTATAACTCCGCGTTTTAATGCCACGGCAACCCGTACGGCCTGTAGAGATTGGGATACGCCCTAGGGCGACCCTGAGGCCACCGCAGATCTTCTGCGGCCGTCGCAAGTATCTTTCGATTTCGGGGGCGTACGCCCGCCGTATCCTAGCCGTAGAGCAAATATGACCTATGCATTTAATCAAAGTGTCTTGGACCATGTAAAAAGACAACAAATGTCGAAATCATCCCCGATAACGTAATCACAATATACCAATGTCTAAACATTGTATATTTTCGCTTTGAGGTATTCCTTTGCAGGTGTCCTTTTTTCTAGATAGTGCCCTTTTTTCTTGGTGCCCCCTACTTTGTAAAACGCTCCGCCGCCCCTGGAAATGGGAAAGGGTTATTAAGGAATCCCAGAGTAGGGGAGAGACAGGGGCAGAGAAAGAGACAGGTATGGAACGAGGTGGACGTGTGCGTGCCAGGCACGTAGCCAGAGTTCGATGTTTGGGGGGCACATACATGTAATCGATCGAGGTCAAAAAAGGGGTCTAAAAAAGTTCAACCGATCTTGGAAATTTTAGGGGGAGCACGTGCCCCCTCCGTGGTTACGTGCCTGGTGCGTGCGAGTACTGTGTACATTTATGTTATATAGAAAGAGGGGTGGGGTGTCGGCCTTTCTCCCTTTCTATTTATGACTAGGGTATCTGGTGATAGTCTAGGTCCTGTTTAATGTATCTTATTTGAATGTAATGGCTATGAGCAGATTTGTTACAGATCTGTGGAAAATGTTATTAATAAGGGGCTTTATGAACCAGGCCCACATGTATGTTCCTATATTCTATATTCAACAATTTTTCGATTGTGAAAGAGTACATGTTTGTAAGACAATTGTAGAAAACTGTTGTATCAGAAGAAAGTGATGTCCTAATTCTGAAACCTTTATGTGCGTCATATATTAGGATAAACCCATTTTCTACTAATTGTGAAGAGATTTGTGCCATTTAAATACGAGCCGACATTTCCTATTGTAACGTACGTCTGCTGATTACAGTGGAAGTGAAAAGTAGGTTATCCTACATAAAAATGTAATAACAAAAGTGTTCGATTTCAAATATGTATGTCTACAAAACATGTATTTTTTCCAGAAATCTTTACAAGATCTTCCTTATAACAAGAAAAAGCAATCAAACCCAAGAACATGCAAACCTATTCAATATTATAAAGTAGGCAGGATGACCAGCTTTTATTACCGGTTATATCCGCCGGGGTAATCCGATTACTCTCTATATCGATGTCTTTGAACTTCCGTATCACAGCCACACTGCCAGACTGACCCCATGCAGACTCTCCAAACCGAACGATCCTTGACCCGGGCTATTCGGGGGTAATCGTTAATGTACTAATTAGTTCGGTATAATGTGATCGGTCTGGTGTTGGTCTCGTTGACGTGACCGGGGTCTAATACGGATGGAAGTATTTAAATGATAGTTGAATTGATGCAGCGACTAGTTATTCAACAAATTGCGTTGTCGGCTGCACATACCGTGAGGGCTTCTTCCAGCTACGAATTCTTTATTGATATCATGTTAAGTCGACGCAGCATGTACAGTGTTTCGGTTTTGGCGTTGATCTTTGTCGTCGGTCCAGCCATCATCGAGTTGCCAGGAGCTGAAGCGGGGATGTGCGGATGCCCACCGCTATGGACGGGCTTTAATGATCATTGCTACCGGTGAGTGTGTTCTCTGCTACAATTGATTTCGATTGGATAGTAATTCCTCATGGAATCAGAAATCTGACTTGATGAGGGAGGTGGTATGGTATAGTCAGAAAGTGGTTAATTTAACTTGACTCTCTCAATCCGAGGGTTAAGGGTTGGAAATGAGGGCCAAACCCGGCACCGATGTCATATTTGGCAAGAAATTAATCCACATTTCCCCCTTTCGAACCAGGTGTCGATGGTTGACGGTGTAGGAATATTTACAGGAACCTCAGGAAGAACAACATTGATGTTGACGAGGCTTCCTATAGCTGGGTACAAAGGGATTTCAATGAGGCAAATTAAAAGCTACCGAAGTGTTGAGTTGTCCTGGTCCAGTGCATCGTTTTCCAACCGGGGTGCCGCGAGAGAAACTTAGTTAGATAATTTCAGGCAGCGAAGTGCCTTCATACCTCCATATTCGATCCGGTGCCTAAATGTCCCTCATTTTACGATGAAGTGCCCGAATATCGCCATATTCGGGAAGCAAGCTCCCTGACGAATAACAATTTTTACATTGAAAATACAACGCGATGCCCGAGTAGTCATATTCGTGTATCGAGATGACCCGAATATTATGATTTTTTGTATCAATGTACATGTTCTGCGTCGAGGTGCCCGGATATATAACTTTATATTTTAGTGTGTTTTGATTGTGAAATAGCATTTCTACCATGTCAAAATGTCCTTTTTGTTTTAATCGCTTGCTTTGCTCACTCGATAATATTTTGTTCAAATATCCATAATTTATATTTGACGAGTGCCAACATAATGCAAAATTATTTTATCTGTGATCTGGGTGAATTTTGGAATGGGGTGACGCGAAACTTGATAAGGGTGCAGTGACCTTTAAAAAGTTTGGGAAAAAAAATGTCTAGTGTATGAGATGCTGGATTATGAAGCTCATGGTACGGAGAATGCCATTTGACAAGATATAAATCTGCATTTGCCAGTTTCCACCCAGGTGAAGTAAATGCATACAAAACAGTTCTTTGTATAGATGAGCTAAATTCGGGGTATGGGTATCATTGCAGGAAGAAAAGTGTATAGTCGGATCTGTCTATAAAGGCCACCGACACAAAGGAAACGTGGCCAGTGTAGATAGGTGCCCTTTCTAGACAGGTTCCGCGACACATATTTCTTACTCAAGTATAAGAAAGAAATGCCGGAAGCAAAGTATTCAGCCGAATCTTTCTATGTTCAATTATGTGTTTCGGTTTGATCGGCAGAATACGCATATAATATAATGTATATAACAAATAATTCATTAAATTTGGATAATCCTCCGTCACAGCAATATACAAATAAAAATAGAAAAAATAATTTGTATATGTGTTTGTTTGATTATATTTCTTCATTTTTCAAGATAATAGAAAGTAATTAACGAACTAGATACAAAAATAAAATAGAAACCGGTCATGGTGAATAAATGAACTCTCAACGATTTTTAATTTCAATTGTTTTAATTACTATTGATATATTTATATAATATTATGTGTGTGTATGTATGTGTATACATTAACATATATTAAAAACAGCGACAGAATAAACGCAATATTCGACACAATACAAGCATTAAATGCCTTTCGTTCCATAGATTCTTCACCTCGGCAAACATCTCCTGGTTTGATGCTGAACTAGCCTGCCGAACCTTTAGTACACCCTGTGGCGAGGAGACCTCATCAAGCAGGATAGGCCATCTTGTCTCCATCCATTCTCAAGACGAAATGGACTTCATTGTAGCGATGTACGAGTCGCTCCGATCCAAAAGGGTTAGTACCAGGGCCAGGGGGGGGGGGGGGTCCAGGATTGTGTAAAAGAGTGGGCACAATATAATGACAATTCGAAATTTGCTTACAAGGAAAAAGAAGCCAAAAGAAAATAAAAAGCCATCTCATAATAAGTGAGGGGCGAAGGTGACGGAAGTGACTATAACCAGGCAGGAAGGGACTTCAAATCTGCACTGATCTATTTCTATAACTCTTGATCTTGTAAACAGACAGTGTAAACTGTGCTTACGTAATACCAATGGAATACAGCTTTTTGATACAATATTTATTCGTTCATTTTGAAGGATATTATGCGAGGGAGCGTAGCGACCGAGCAAGAAGACTTATGCATTTTCATTAGTCTTATCGCTGCAAGTTTGTGCCCACTAGAACCTAAAAGTGTGTTGCAGTCAGTATATTTGCTATACATTTTATTTTTGCACTTTTTTTAAATTTTCCAGGGGAGGTGTGACTTTACGTCTCTTTCTTTTACTCACACGTCCACCGTTGTATTGGTAATAATAGGCATCATTCACTGTTTTTAATTATTTCATGCACTGTCACTCGTTGCAAAGACATCCCAGTTAAGCTGTGTGATGAGCTGCCTTCGGGATTATTTCTACTAGTGACAAATGATCATCATTATGTTATTCAAGAAATGGTCACCACTCTTTGCCATCATGTGTGAAGTTGTCTTGGTATATAACATCATTCACTTGACTCTCAATCCAAGGGTGTGGGGGGGGGGGCTTCGAATTCCAGCCCGGCACCATGTCCTTTGGCAAGACACGAATCACATTTCCAACTCGCCATCTAGGTGAAAATTGATACATGGTAATAATAATTACCCACAGGAAAAACCCAATGTCACGACAGCTGATTCCTTTTTTTTTTAATATAATTTTTTTTTTTTTTTAGATCGAGACTCGTCAATTTAAACATAATTCAAGCCACCTTTATTATCGTAAATTCGTAATGTCAACATTATCATTTAAATATGAAAATTACGTATTCATAATGAATAGCTTATCATGTGAGTCCCTCGTACAAGTTGTTGCATTAAGATTTGAATAGATTGTCTTTATGTTTTAACATATTTATTGAGAGAGCAGTCCCTGAGTAAAGAACACTCAATCTTATCTATTTTATCTACAAACCTAATCCTACATAGTTCTGACGAAAAAAAGGCCGGACAAAGTGTAGCAATATTACCGTATCTACTTAAAGATCACCATTGTCTTATCCAATAAAACTTTGATCATTTATCTTTGTCATTATACAGCCGACGACAGACATACGGACCTGGATAGGTCTGCATGACCGTACGGCCGAGGCATCTGCAGAGTGGGCTGACGGAACCGACGTCAATTACACATCCTGGGCACCTAGTCAGCCTAACGATCAAAGCGGCTACAATGACTGTGTGGTCATTTCCAAAAATTTCATGTACAAGTGGAATGACATCCCATGCAACCATGTCAGTAGCCGTGTCGAGTCCTTCATCTGTAAGATTCGGCAATGGTGAACTTCGGGACGAGTTTGGCATCGCGGCGTAGCACTCATAATTTTTGAAGGTTTGTAGTTACGACCATGATAAAACAGGGTTCTATCAAAATCTTGGAGTTATCATTGTTCAAGAAAATGAACCCTATTTTATGTTCGGAATTACAAACCTTTGGAAAAAAGAGCAGTTGGAAATGCGAGCCTTAACTCTTCGGCGAACTTTTGGAATGACTTAAACCTGAGAATGACGAACCTTCGGAATAACAGAAAATTGGGTCAATGAATAGCAGGAAACATAATTGGGGGGGGGGGGGGTCGTTCACGTTTATATGGCGTAGCCTAAATTTAAATAGTTTAAAATTGTGAGAATTTCAGAAATGGGAGGGGGGGGTCTTTGTAAAGATGTGCTGATTGTCTGAATAATTGAAACAATAATAAAAACAACTTTAACTTATATGTATTACATGTTCCACAGTGTAAACCAACCATGAGAGTGAAGTAAAAGTAAATACTGTTTTTCAACAAACGAGAAAGAGCAACAACAAAAAAGCACCGCTGTAAATCAACTATACGATCTCTAATGGGCAATGTGTATAGCGCCATCTATCGCTCTAAATATTTGATAGCACCGTATAGTTCCTTACCTATTTATCACGGAAAACCCTACTTTTTACCATTACCTTATTACTAAAGCCATTTCTTTTTCTTTCTTTAGTGGTTCAAATTACATGAATCTATGGATAGCATTAAATAAAAAGGAGGAAAGGTGGACTACAAAAGAACTTGAGAGGGGAAAACAGAGAGAAAGAGTGATAAAAAGCCAGGGGAGAGAGAGGGGGAGAGAGAGATGGGAAGAGAGAGAGAGAGAGAAAGAGGGAGAGAGAGAGAGAGCGAGAGCGAGAGATTGACATAGAAGTAGAGTGAGAGAGACAGAGAAAGGGGGAAGAAAAAAGGAGGGAAAATTCGAACAACTCGGAGAGGAAGCGAGATAGAGAGAGATAGAGAGAGAGAGGGAGGAGAGAGAGAGAGAAAGAGAGAGAGAGGGGGGAACAGAGTGACAGACATACAGGCAAACAGAGCCCCCCTCTCGTTGTCCTCAAGTGCGCCCCCACAGTTCACCACCCCGGTTCAAATAAGTGCCCCTCCCTTATGTATAGACCCTTCCTACTCCACTATCGGCTGGAATTAAGGGTGAGGTATACTGATGATTTTAAAAGCGATATAAATCATATGCATGGTAACATTTTCCATATTTTTTCTGTATTCCTCAATCTTTTTTTAAAACCCACCAATTTTCCCGATTGATGTGATAATTCTAATAAAAGAATACAGAGGTTTATTGATTTTATTTGCCTTCCATTTTATAGTCTATATCAAATTAGACACTCATGATTGTAATCAGGCGCGTACGCAGGGGGGGGGGGGTCAGGATTAAACCTTTAACCCCTTGAACCTTTGTTATGTGTATGTCTTTAACGATCCCCCCTCCCCCTTTTCTTCTTTTTTTTTATAACAAAAATAAATAATATATATATATTTTTAATTGTGGTAATGGGTGACCCCAAGAAGCCGACCATAACCCCCCCCCCCCCCCCCCCAACTAAACGAAATATCGATCGACCAAATTTTCAAACACATGTATTAAAGCATTACAAAATGAGAAATATCAGCCAAAAGAGGGCGGGAGAAAAAAAAAAAACACATTAAAAACTGAAAAATATCGGCCCAAAGAGGGCGACAACAAAAAAGTTTTAAAAAAACAAACTTTTCCGACCGACCGACCCATGCTTTAGCACCCAAAGGGCAATACAACAATTTCTTATTTTAGGCCTTATTGTATGACGCAAGAGGTAGACTTTTCTTTATAGAGAACCTAGATTATAATATGCTATTCATAATACATTTTGGGATGTGCCGAAGGAGAGACAAAAACATCAATGATATTTGTGCACACCACATTATACGGGAGAGTCGTTCGTGACTACGCCACAATCTGAATCTGAATCTGAATCTTAACATTATACGTCTCCATACCCCTAGTCGAGTATTAAAAACGAGTCATAGACCAAATTGATGTGTTGGTTTTTTAATGTCGCACATCAAATTAAAGGTATGGTAGGACTGAAAAGGGAGAAAAGCATTATTTAGTGCGCATCACTCCTTGATAAGGATATGAGCAATATCATTATCCCATTTCACATCCAAGTCAAAAGTGTTTGGTATTCATCAGGGAACACCAGGCGCGTCACCCCCTTCAGTTTTGTTATGTGTGTATTTAGGAGCAACCCCCCCCCCCCCCCCCCAACCCCTTTGTGATTTTTTTTTTTTTTTTTTAATTAAAAAAAAAATATGCCAATGGGTAACCTAAAAAAGGTGACCTTACCCTCCCCCCCCCACGGAACAAAATGTCTCCTCTTACCCCCCCCCCCCCCCCGTTCCCCCCTCGTTGCGAAATTTTCGGCCCGATTTAAACATATTAAAAAAAACCTCCCCTCTCCTCCCTTGAAAAAATCCTGTGTACGCTACTGGGGAACACAAAACACTTTTAAACCTTTGTTCCCATAGTTTCGTCACGGGACCTACAGGCTGGTCTCCTACTACAGTATTAGTACTAGGTTAGTATGTAGTCTGCAGGCACAGACCCTAATTTGACACTTAATCAAAAAATCATTGTGCCTTGAGAAAAGTCTAGCCCAGCTACCTACTGGTGTCAGGAGCAGCTACAGTACATGGCATATGGTAGTCTTATAGTGCAGACTCACTTTTACCACTGACCAGGGTTTGTGCTTGCAGACTAGTTACACTGTAGTATGTGCCATTTAAAGAGAAGGTTGAGTTCTGGGAAGAGGTGAAAAATAATTTGTGAGCATTACTCATTCTTATTATGCAAGTGTGGAAGAACATCAGTTAAGACATGTTCTCTGAAAAGCATGGCTCTTCAAATGCCTTTATATTCTAAATATGCATGTAACATCGTAAAAATCGGGGGCCGGCTTTTTACGCCACGTGTTCGTGTAGTCCCATTTACATCTTTCTGTGCAAGTGTTTGTAACTTAACCAAGACTTGGCCAAATTTCTTATCATTTTGATGATTCCAGAACCTTGCAATACACACAAATTCTTATATGCTAGATGGTCAACCTTTTCTGGTCGGTTCCACACCGTTTCTTTCACAATGCAATCGCATGACCAGAACTCAACTTCATCTTTAAGTCATGTACGAGAAGGGATATTTCTTACCTTTATAAATAGCTGTATCAGAATTTCTCAACTTATTCTCACTCTAGTATTATTTTTCTTGTATTCCTTTTCTGCTTCTCTCTCTCTCTCTCTCTCTCTCTCACTCTTTCTCTCTCGATCACACTTTCTCTCTCTCTCTCTCTCTCTCTCTTTCTTTCTCACCTCCTTTTCTTCCTTCTCAGTTCTCCCCTTTACCCAATCTTTTGATATCAATACATCTTACTCTTGATATAATTTTCTGTCCATTTATTTCTCTTTTGTGGGTCTCTCCTATCCTGTGCACAGTCTTGAGCCCTTCTGTTTAATCCCATTTTGTCTGCACATCTCCCCTCAAAGTCTTTCTGTGAATGATTTGTGCAAACTTGTTTATATATTAAAGGCAAATAGAAAATATAGATGGAATGTACGTGTTCATTTATTCATGCAAAATCTGTATCGTTTATTTTCTTCTTGTATTATCAAATCTTGTTTCTTCTTCTGTGTGAATGATAATTTAATGCTCTGGTTTTTAACCTGAGCCAGTCTCCAAGTATCCTTCCCTTGCCCTTGTCTTCCCTCTCACTTTCATCACATTTCCACTCTATGTTAAAGTGGCACGTTCCCGCCAGTGTAGTTATCGCTGCTCTAGTCATCGCCATCTTGGTTCCGAAGATCGACTTCTAATTTGCATACAGCTGTCAATCAAAGTACGCGCGGCCTGGCCTGCCTTCGCCAAGCCAGCTGATCGCTGACGATCGCGACGTCACGAAAGTGGGCGGAAACAGCAGCCGAATCTTAGAGCCGAACTGCGATTGGCATTACTTCGGCACATGTATGCGATAATCGGTATTGTCCGGGCATTCGGAACATGCCATCTGCGTAAGAGCCGTATTCTGTTGGTGTCAATAGGCAGCTAGCACCGTCCGCCAGCGGGTACGTATTTTGAACGCCCTCTGGAATACGGGGAACATGCCTCTTTAATACCTACATTACACCCCCTCATCCTCCTCTCTGTCTCTCTCTCTCTCTGTCTCTCTCTGTCTCTCTCTGTCTCTCTCTCTCTCTCTCTCTCTGTCTCTCTCTGTCTCTCTCTGTCTCTCTCTCTCTCTCTCACTCACACACACACATACACACTTTCTCTCTCCTCTCTCTTCTGCTTCCGCTTCACTTTCTTTTCTTTACAAATTGATATGAAAATAAAATTTACTTTGAATTTGATACTGTTACTTGAATACTCTCCACGTAGATATACAAATATGTTATATACACAATCATTTGTAGTACACAGGTAATAGGCACATTCAATCAAGGTAGAACATCATTTTACAGATTCGTTTGCAAGTGAACTATGTATTCTGCCATATTCGGAGAACAAGCCCTTTTTGTATGATGTGATTTCAACCATTTACATTCAAATACTGGGATGTTCAAGTCCAGACCGTCTTCCACCTAAAATCTCATTTCAGCTTCAAAGTGTCTTGTCTTTTTTTTGAATAGTTGATTCATGACATCTAATTCTCTGTGTCAAAAATCAAAACATCTGATACATAAATATGTACCTGTACGTGAGATCTGTTCATAGATGACACCGTCTTGGACTGACGATGTAAAGCTGGGTCCAATTTCCACTTTTTCCTATGATGCATAAGTTTATCTATTTTTGTAAGACAGCATTTAAAATAACGTACTCTACTTATTTATCGTAGCAAAAAGTAGGTTATGTGTATATGGTCTTACTACATGCTTTAGCCCGAATTGTCTTGCTGCACCTTCAGTCAAAGGGCCTAAATGAATGGTCTATCCATTTATTCTAAATTTGCCACTCTTTACCCAGGTGTTAAATGGTACCCAGGAAAGTGTGAACATTAACGTGGTTGGATTGCCATGTCTGCGCTTGTAAAATGACGCGAAACGTGAGTACTATCATGGGCTGATCAACAGTTGAATCCAATGACCAGGGTGATAATAATCACAATGTAAAGCGCTTAGAAACGTAGTAATAAGAGCTGTATATATATTTTAGATAATAATAATTATTATAATCTGTTACTATCATTATTAATATTATTATTATCATCATCATTAATGTGATTGTAATTCTAAAAAGATCCTGTGCATTATGATAAACAAAGTCGTTGATATACAATCATTACTGGCCTCATTTTGTTCACTCTAAACATTTTTATTTTCTCTCGATGAAATCGTACAAAGTGGCATTCAAATTCGTTGTTGTGGAGGTTC